CCTTTCCTGATATGTAATCTTGTTTGCCATTCAATCACTGAGCTCAGTTATTTCTCTGATGTATGATAGTTTTCTTTTTAGTTTCTTTCTTAGTTTGCAAATGTTCTATGAAGAAATTCTTAATTTATTATAACAGTTATTTTCAAATAATTTAGAAATCTCTCTTTTCATGGTGTCCTAGGTGCCGTAAAGACACTCTGTAAGTAATCAGTTAATCATTCTTTCCTGTACTTACAAGTTCATGTAAAAGAACCGAGAGGAAATAACATTTGCTGAAAATCTTTTCACAGCAAAATGTTTGCATGTACAAATACATGCAGAGAGGAACATGATGTGTATAAATACAATTAGATTCTTCTCCTGCAAGATCCAGTTACTGGGGATTCACGTAGTATATAGTCAAGTATTTAAATAATGTTTTGGAGAGCTGACTCACTATGCTTATGCCTGTAATTTGCTGCTGGGTAGTTTGTCACATATTTAATCTGTAACTAATTTTTTCAAGACTACCATTGTGCACTATGCACTATTGTCAGATAGCAAATTCTTTCCTCATGTTCGGTCTCATGCTCATCTGTGGTGGCCACAGAGCTGCCTCTCTGTACTTTCCCTGGTCATACATAGCTTGGCAGTATGTAGTCTTTTCCTCCCATTTGGCCTTCTCCCCCCACCACTCCACCCCCTAAAAATTTTAAATACACTTTCTTGATTATCTCTTGAGCAATGAAATAATCAAAATTGTGGTTCTGGCCTATCCTCTTCAGTTTTCTTATTCTGTTGTAATATTACAGTGTCATTAGACTGTGATGACTTTGAGAATTTCTCTGATGGGCTGTCTAGAAATGCTTAATTTCTATCCAGTTTTGAGAGGAAGTTCCACTCAGACCTCTTGGTTTAGACAGGAGTATTCAACAGACTGATCTAAGCCTTGTGTTCAGCATGACTATACCCTTAGTTTCCCACTTGCAAATAGGGTTAGGAAATGTATTTCTTTTCTGCAAAATCGTTTTGAAGATTGTGAAGCTGAAATAAAAATGCATGAGGCTTAAATGGATACTCAAAACTGCACTTGTAATGCTTTACTAGGGCTATTGAGGGGGGAAGAAACCACCCCACAACAACCCCTAGATCTATAGGGCCAAGGAGGAGGGATATACTTCAGGATCTGTAGGCTCCATCCCATGTAGTCTGTACTTGCTTAGTTTGTGAGAAAGAAATTTGATAACTATGTCTAGTAGAACTAAGATGGTTCACCTATACTCATTTTAGTGTCTGTCTATAGGACATATCTAAATGGTTGGAAACTTTTCAGCAGAAGGCTGCTGGGCATGTAGGATAGAGAAATGTATGCCTGGTGACCCTCTCATAAAAAGTTTTTCTTTAATTGCTGGATTGGAACAATAAAACAAGGTCTGAACTTCATATCCTTGAAATGTATTGTCATTACTAAATCCAGTGACACTGAATGGATTTTGGGTTGTTGGTCCATCCTTTAGAAGCTGAAGTTTCAAACAGGCATAATGTGGTATCATAAAATGCACAGAAGCTTAGATTTGTTTCTCAGACATCATGAACATTAAGCACAATTTTGCCACTTTATTCCTTTCCCAAGGCTTTCAGTAGCAGTTGTCTTCTCTATTTTTCCCATACCTTTTTCTCTCTCCCCTCATTCCAGACCTGGGTCTTGTAATATTATTTGTGTAGATAGTTAACATTTTGTGTGTTTAAAGCAAAAGAAAAAAAAATCCTATCTAAAAATCCCATACCTGAGATCAAAGTTAAGTGCATGTCCACTTTATGTATTTTGAATTTCTTAGAATTTAGATGAATTCAGATTATAAAACATTCTACATGGTAGTTTAGATTACCAGCTTTTAAGAGCATAGTACTGTCTATTTATAAATATTGCCTAGAAGATTTTAGCTGCTAACAAATACAGTCATTGATAAATAGTAGTTTATAGGATGGAAATGCCATTGAATGCCAATTTTCTGTTGCATTTTTTTCATTATTTCTTTGTTTTCATTTCTGGTACCCTCTGGGTTTCGTCTGAGGCATGCCCATGTCAAAGTCTTCCAGAAGGCCTTTACTGAAGGGACTGGTATTCTGGGGGTTCCTCCCTGCCCTCCTTCACAGTTGCCTCTCAAAACTTCCCTTTTCTTCTTAGCAGGTATTCAAGGACATCTCTGTCAGGTTTTTTTTCTACCTGATTTTTAGGAAAAGCTGTAGAAAACGCTGAATGTAGTAATAAAGACTTTCTTTTTGGCACAGCCCGCTCAGCTTCTTTGCCTCTTTTGACCCTGTCCTTAAACTTATAACTGTAGACATGAATGGTTTGTTTTATTGCACAGTGAACCATCCTCCCAGTAAGTGGGTGAAAAGGAGTCAGCGAGGCAAAGAAAGTGAGAGCGTAGGGAGAGATCCACCTTGAGTACCACGATTATACAAGCTCGGAAGTGTTTTCAGACATTAGGTAGGTGATGGTAAAGCTGCCTTTTGAACTATGACTTACAAAGATACACTTATACCTCACAATATAGAAAAAAGAAATGTGTATGTATGCTTGCATTTAATACTGTTTTACACATGCATATATAGCTACCAAGATGTGTGCACACGCACAAATATTAAATAGTTAATGCTGCATTTTCCACGAACCATTTAAAGTATTCTAATGCAGCAGAGGGTCTTCCCACCCCACCCCCCGCCTCCTCTGTCTGGCTATGTCTTTCATTCCCTTAAATGGGGTCACCAGTGGAACCATTCATAATGCTTAATAACGCACTCTACCAGTGATGCACTCTTCAGAACACTGAAATTGATTTTTCTTCTCTAAAAGTGTGACCTGCTAGTGTAGCCTTTGTCCTAACGCCTAATAATACTTGATGTTCCTGACGGCATGGGATGTGAGCGCAGATGTTCTGGAGGCATCAGAAAAAAGCAGCCTCAGTGCAATGGCTAATGCTGTCAAAGGCATTTAATTTGCTGCAGGTCAGTGTCTGCTTTGAAGAAGAAGAATTAAGGTGTTTTGTTCCTTTTGAAATGGGTTCTCAAAATTAGGTTTGTATCGACCAAAGCTTAATGAGGGGCTAGGTAGATATGCATGAGGTATGAGCATCTTGTTGAACTCATGGATGCTTAATACTTTTGAAATTCAGAGTATTAAGGTAAGAACTTTAGGTAGCCGCTTTAATGATAATGGCTAATATGGTTAAAGCTGTTAAAAATACCACAGTGGATCTGAGCAGCTACCTGTCTGTTCTAGAGCGCCTTTGCTGTAGTGCTTATCCTGAGATAACTTTTAAGAAAAATGCTATTCTGTTCACTGCCATATTATACCTGCAACATAGGAAATTATACTGTTCATTCTGCATCACACAGAGCTTCTGTCTGAAATTGTCATTCTACCAAGATGAGGGAAACATTTCCGTGGACTTTATTTAATCCTTCAAGGTTGGATGGACAGATAGTTTATTTGTTGTTAGCTGTTGTTGTTAGTTTTACTGTAAGTAAAGCAGAATTTACAGGGTTGGTGCAGGAATTGCCAGATTAGGGTCTGTGTGATGCAGATGAGTCAATAATTTCTTGTGGTCTTGAACTCTGAATTTAATACTTCTGCAGTGTCAGACTGCATCTTGTTAGGTAGTTGCACAGCCAGTGCTGTTCCTGAGGGTGTGGGCCACTCTCTTTTCCACTTATGCTTCATATTGCAGCAGTGGTGACAGCAAGTATGGCAAAGTACAGTTAAGCATGCTAAACGTATAATCCAGTTGTCTTTTAATGCAAGTTGACAGCTGCTGGCAAAGCAGGTTGAAATGGTATTCTTGGAGACTTATGCTACAGATCACAGTCTCAAGAAATCCCAATCCCTACAGCTCCTTCTTACAGGATTTAGTCAGCTCTGTTTGGTGTGCGAAGCACCATATTCTTTTACTGAACTAGCTCGTCGTAATGCTTGCTAATTCTCCACAATGTTGCTTGCTTATTAACAAAAATTTAAAAACAGCAACAGTATACAGGCTTATGTTATTTACTATATCTGTATATGATAATTTTACTATTTTTATTGGTGCAAAAGTGCATTTTTATATAGCTAATTTAGTAATATATACCAGCACCAAGTCTTAACTAAGAGCTGAAGTACATTTGCAATCTGATGTTTTAATTTGCTGCCCTGAAGAAAAAAAATGAAGTTAGCTTGTGATAAGAGCACACCCCACCCCATATTTTCATTCTTCTGTCTTCAGAGGCGATTTACAGCTGTAAGGAGTAAATAGTTTCTTTCTGGCTGTCATCAGAAGCCATAGAATCACAGCATGGCTGAGGCTGGAAGGTGCCTCTGGGGACTGTCTAGTCCCACACCCTGGCTCAGAGCAAGTTGCCCAGGACCGTGCCCGGTCAGGATTTGAGCATCTCGGAGGATGGAGGTTCCAGGGAATATGTATTATCTTCTGTATAGTTTCACTCTGATGTTTTAACTGTATAGCAATTTACTAACTTAGTAGGCGTATTTAGGCTTGCTAATGTGCTGCTCATCCTGTTGTATATGCTGCTAGATCTGCTTGTGAATTTTCCAAGTTTCTGAAACTTTGAAGCATGGTTTCATAATAGCAGTGTTGTTTATTAGGGGTTATGGCATAATCTGGGGCTCAGGCTTATCTGTTTCTGGACCAGTTGTGTGTCCTAATGAACGCTGCATCTGTTTTCTTTGTTGGTCGTCTCCAGTAAATTTCTTTTCTGTTCAGTTTTCAGTGTTTCTCGTGCATGGATGGTTGTGCTTTGGGGTTAAGGAGGGCAAGAGTGAAATCCTGATCACCTCTTGGAGATTCTCTAGTGCAGTATGTGGGAAGAAAGATGTTTGCCTTGGAGGCTAGTTTAGTCTTGTTGAAGTCTAGAAAGATTATTGGATGTGAATTTCTGATTCTTAGAAAAGATGCTTTTTGTGAGTGAGCAATTCTATTGACACAAAGACAACTCAGGCTTTTGCCGTTGTCTGACAGGGATTGATGGCCCAGCTGCTTTTCAAGATGATGTTCAGAAGATAGGAAGTCAAGTGCAAATTCTCACCGTTGGACAGTCTAGCCATGATGAAGATGATGGAGAGAAAATGGCTAGTGGCCAACAACAACAAAACAAACAAGATCTTAGAACAGCAATGCAAAAAAAAGGTAAGTAGCCAAAGCTGCCTTCATGTTCTCATTGGTTGCTTTATGTACATTGATTCCTTTTCCGATTCTTGCTCTCAGCCCTAGCCTAAGCAGAGATTGTTACTCTGTGTTTCTTCTCCTCGAGCCTGTTAGGCTCTATTCTATTATCTCAGGGGAAAAAAAAAAATCTCTTGTCCCAAAGAACAAGAGGTCTCCAGGCTCTCTGGGATTGTGGCTTTCCCATCTGAAGTGCAGTGCTGCTATTAAGGTACCAGGCAGATCTCATGCTTGTATCCATCTGTTCACATTTTTGTATTGTACAACTCTGGAAATCACTTACTTGAGGTTAAAAAAAGAGTGTGGAATAGCAACACTCAAACCAGAATATTAATTTCAGTTGTGTTGTCAGTTAAATATTGTTCGTGTTTTCATAATGTGTATTCATGCTTGCAGAGGTGAAAATTACAGCACTGTGTATTCTGCAGCATTTCCCATGCGTAGTGCTCGAATGTGCTGGTATATTTTTTTTTTTCTAGAGGCATGCATGATTTGGGAGATAGATTGTGTATGTACACATTCATGCATCCGTCTCTTCCTTCCTGCCCTGTTCCTATCTCATTAGACATTAACCGTAGGAAGGAAAAAAAAAAATCCTAAAATCCTCACAAAGCTTTTTCTGAAGGCATTTGCTTTGGAGTTGTTCTTCTTCAGTGTACAGCTTTTGAAGCAAAGATGGCTCAAGCCAAGAGTGCTCTGATGCTTTAAGAATAAACTCTTTGTGTATAAAGAGCAAAATGTAAGTGCAAACTTGACTCATCTAGAATAGTCTATTCATACCTAAATGCCTGCCTCTTGTCTGCAGAGCAGTTCTCACTATTTCATTTTTTCTGGGACGTTACTCTGCAGATGTGAGCAACTTCAACTGAAATGGGCAGATTTTCTCCAAGTGTGGTATTTCCTGGGCATTTGAGTCCGGGGGATGTTGGCATGACTAACAAGTTCTGATCTGTGTGGTGATTGTCTTGCCTTAGACCATGGCTCAGAATATTTAATGATCAAGCACACTACTTAAAGCTGATTGACTTAAAAACTATCAACAGACTTCTCAAATTAGGTCAAAGCACTCAGATTTTTACTCTGGGGGACATTTCTATTTTTGATGGTTTTTCCAAGTTAAGATATATTTTTATTCTCCCCAGTTTTTTGTTTATTTTTTAATAGAAGCAGTGGGTGGTGGTTTTTTGTTTTGATTTGGTTTTGGTTTTGCTTTGCTTTGTTGCTTCATATTCTTAAATATATGATACAACCTTTTTTTACCGTGTCTGAGTATACTCCTGATCAGAACAGACAGTACTAAGAGTGGACCACTAGTATGCTTCAAGGTGTATGGGAGCTACTTTTTTAAATGGGAATGCTGAGGTTTACTCATTTTTATTAACAACAGAGCTATGCTCTGAGACACAAAGAAAGGTATTAAGACAAGACTGCAACTAGCAGTGTCTCCATAAAATATTTTTACTATGCGTCTATGGTTTGCCACTTTATACCAGCAGAGGAGGCTTGTTAGAAAGTTTTGAGTATACCAGTATTCATGGGAAACTTTATGTAGGCCTTTTCATGTGGATTCCCACTGCCACTTAACTGCTTGTGGCGTGTCCTCACTGCCACATCCCTGTTTGTCTGAAAAGCATTTAGAATTGCTGTCTCCCATCAGTCCTTTGCTCACATGGAATAAAAGCAAAAGGAGAAAAACACAGAGATAAATGCTAACTGGCCTAATGGGAAAGGCTGAGTCCCACCAGATTTGCGAAGCCCTGATTTGTGTTCATTCTGCTCTCTGACACTAACTTTGTGGAAAGAAGCCTCTCTCGGCATGTGTCTCTACTTCCCCAGTGAGTCAAGTTCTGTTTCGAGACGAGGGGTTATATACCTGAGTGTGAAAAGAATATGCCACTTGCAAGAAAATGCCAAATGTTTTATTTGATTTCTCCATCTGTTGGAAATTGCCATACTAGAATCATTTTCTTCCTGCAGGAAATATTTGTCCTTTTGATTTCAGAACTCTTAATATGTAGAGTTCCTCTCTGGCAAATGAGTCACTAGGACAGAGCCAGACTTCCATAAGTTTTAACATGAATAACTAACGTTTAGTCTTCACATTTATCAGTTTCCTGTATGTCTCTAAAGACTTGGAATGAGCAATTTGGTCTTAGTTCTTCTTTGCCACCTGAAGTTATGACTGTTTTGAGATTTAGGGAAGGGATAGACTTGATTTCTGGATTCAGAAACAAAACAGGAGCTCTCGGAAGCATTCTTCCCCACAGATCATGAGTACAGACTTTTCTAAGGCTGGCAGGGAATTTTCACCACCAAAATATTGGTGGTGAAATAGTGCACATGGATGTAGAAATAAGCTGATTACGTCTGTGCGTATGAAGTATGGCTTTATTGCACAGCTGCCGGCTGAGGAGATGGACTGTCTCTATTACCCATGCATAGTTGACTAGAATGTGGTTGTCATTATTAAGAAATAATGCTTGTGATTAATGAGTGTGTGATTAATAATGAGCGAGTTCTGCAGGCTTTGAAAATATCTATTGACCTGTGAACTCAGGCCTCCCTTGCATAACTAGATCCTATTGAAACTTTTTGCTGTCATACTGTGTGGTATACGTCCAGAAGAAGTGGATAACGAGACCATTCACGGTGCAGCTGAATGGAATACAGGCATTGCATATGCTTCTGTTTAACTTTTATACACTCAGTCTTACTACTCTGCTGGTGTTTCATTATCCAGTGTGCATCTGGTGTTAAAAGCATTGAAGTTATTGGAAGCAGCAATAATGTAAAAAGTATATAAATGCCTTTTTTGGTGTCTTTTTTTCCTCATTCTGTTCCAACATTTGAACTGAAGAAAACCATTACTGATACTATCTCTAACGTTTGTATTTCTATACCTTAGTTTGGTTCAGTTTCTGCTTGCTACAGACCAAGCTCATATTCCAAAAGACTAAGCTACATGAAAGATCTCTATGCATATCCCTGTAAGTCCTGGATAAGCACTTTAGGGAGTCTGAGAAAGATGATGAGGACACACTGGGCACAGGGATTTAGGTAGAATTTAGGCAATCTGAATATGAGTCTGAATAATTTTTTCAATGTTACTGAATGGGTATTTGCGTAGAGTCTCTGTATATCACTTGTGTCGATCAGTTTTAATTTTTTGTGTGTTAGAATGCAGAAGTAGGCCAAAATCCTACCATGCAGGGCACATCGTGCACAGAAGGGTTTGTGGCACAACCGTTTAGCATGGATGATGTTTTCTGAAGCTTCAGCTCTGTGATCCAGGGCTTTTTAACTTTATTCAAAGTACTAAAAAAGAAGGTGACAGCTGGTATAAGCAGGCAGAAGGTGAATTTGATTGTGCAGGAAGATAAAATGTCCATAATTGAGAATTCAGACAGCAGCATTATGGCCCCGTCCAGTAAGCCTTTAGCCCTATGCGGAGTCCTGTTGGCAAATTAGGCTTGTTCACTCACTTACGGGTTTGCAGAATCAAGCCCATGGATTTTTTCCTTTCCCAGATCCCCATGCAAATACATCCTGGTCCTCTTCCACCTCCCAATCCAGTCTTGTCGCCCTGGATCATGTTCCTGGTAAGTACAGAAGGAAAAAGTTAATTATGCCCATGCTGCTTGGCTCTGGAAGTCTTTGCATTTCATTTATCCTTCTGCATTGGACTTACCTGTAGTGGAAATTCTGGACCAAGTGTGTTTTTTTGTTGTTGTTTTTTTTTTTTTTTTTAGGAAAACATATTGCATAGATAGCCTCTAATAGGAGGAACTTAGAGTTTGAACCTGAATACAGGGTGGCTTCATCTGCATGATACTCCTTGAAAAACTAGGCCTTGCAAATGTCCCACCATTGACGCTTCCTGCTGCTAAGTCCTATTTGATGTTCAAAGTTGTATTTCCCTTTGAAATGTCTGAGGTTTTGAATACTTGCAAAGTCAAATTTTTAAGTGCTGCAAGGCAGTTCCTTTGGCCTGGGCTGATACTGTTTTTTACGTGAAATAAATATGCATGAGAACATTTCCTTGATGTGAATGTTTCTTCTTGGTCGAAGATCTGCTCTTCATCAGATCACATAGGAACAGTTAAAAGTGCGCTGTAGAAGGGCTCGTATTTTAGTTGTTAAGGTTTCCAAGTGGCTGTGATAGGTTGTCCACTGAGCTCCAATTTCAGGTTTAAGATTTTGCGTTGTGTTTGAAGTACTTGATTGGATGAAGAAGATCTGAATTTAATTCCTAACTGGATGTTGCTCCTGTATCACTGGATAACTTGATCCTCTCTGTGGAATGGAAACCATGATATTTCTTTTCTCATTTGCTGAAATGTTTTGGCTTCTCAGGGCCGGTGCTGTCTCACCCGTGTATGTGTACACTGCCTCGCACAGTGAACCCCCCTCACACACACCCTCTCTCACCTGTGAGCCTAAGGGTGCAACAGTATAATAAGTGATGTTTTCCAGCAAGTATGGACAGCTTTAATGTATTAGTATTTCATGTAAGTGTGCTGCTTTCTTCTCAGGCATTTCAAGCAGCATGAATTTTGATGAGGAAGAAGATGAGGAAGATGAAGACAGCTCCAGTTCTTCACAGTTAAACAGTAACACCCGGCCTGGTTCTGCCACGAGCAAGAAATCCAATAAGGTAAGGGGTGAGTGCCGAAGAAGGAGAATGCAGGCTGCTATTTACTGTGTGATTTGAAAGTGCAGTCAGGATAGGCCTGGCTTTCTTGTTTTGTTTTTAATCTGCACTAGAGTATCTCCACGGTGATTTACCGTGATAGCTGTCAGGGTTCACAGGAGCAAGCAATGAAAATAATGACTTGGAGAAAAGAATAGCAAATATTGTCTGAACCTGAATGAAGAGAAGAGTAAACAGTAAATATTTACCTTTCTACCTTTTGCAGGTGCTCAGAAGAATATTTTGTTTCTATTGGCTTTTTCTGAGCATTTTCCCACCCTGTTTTCACTGCTACCATCTGAACATAAAATAAGCCTTTGGCTTGTTCAAATATTCTAAACCACAAGCTCTTGCTAAAACAGCTGATGGTGCTCCACTCTTACATACTGCACTGACTTCTCATCTCTGTTGTATCTCTATCTAGCTTAATCTGTCTCTCCCTATCCCATTTCTTCCTTGCATCCATCATGGGGGGGGATTTAAAAATGAGAGAGGGGTTCAGATCGCTTAAAGAATCACCTCCAATTGTATTAGCAATTACGACAGCATCAAAGGCCATCACTGTCCTTGGGTACAGTGTGGTGAGATGGGAAGGTGTGAGCCAGGGTTTGCTCTGTAACATTACAGCACTCTGCCTGTGCGTCCACCCTGTTCTGCTTTGCCAGATGTGTCTGTACACTAAGCATCAGTGGTGCAGAGAACTGCTCCCTGGGCCTTTGGTAGCCAAGAGCTTGACCGACTGGATGGGGAGAGATCCTTAGCTTGATAAGCTGCCTTCAAGGCTGCTGAGGAATCAGAACGGGGAAGACTATGTCCATTGTGTTTATTTTTTTTAAAGTGCAGCTTCTATCAAATGTCATTCCTTTGTGCTTATAGCCTCATAAATCAAAGTTGAGGAAACCTGAGTTTTGCTTACTGTTTTAGGAAGCGGCCTCAGCCCCCAGTCCTTCCACAAATGAGCCTCTCATAGATGTTGATGACCTGGAGGAATTTGCCGTAAGACCTGCTCCACAGGGTGTCACTGTCAAATGCAGAATCACAAGAGACAAGAAGGGAATGGACCGAGGGATGTACCCTACTTATTACCTCCACTTGGAAAGGGAGCATGGTAAAAAGGTCATAAAATAACTTGAATGGCATACCAGTTGCATCTGAATATAAAAAAGTTATTAAAAGTCTGAAGAAGTCTTATAAAGAAAATATATTTTAAATGTATTTTCACTTTCACTGAGATCTGCCCTACAGTCTTCCAAAAGCAAAACAATAGTATCACTTTGTTCTACTGCCCTTCTTCATATGTCTAATCTTTGCCCTTTAAATAATCCATGCATGGCACCTTTGTGTGACAGTCAGCTGGGGCTCTCTGCATTCTGTGGCCTGAAAAGCATACATTTTCAATTCAGCTGGAAGAGCCAAAGCAACTTAGAATGAAACATTTAACAAAATAGATCGAATTTAATTATTTAAACCATAAATTATGGACTGAGTGGTTGAGAAGTCACTTCCCCTTTCCAGATTTTTATCTAGTTTTGCCTAGTCCCAGGAGACCTTCTGTTACTTCACTAATGATGCTGGAAGACAGAAAAATTGCCTATGGTTTCCTTATATGAAAGCAGGAAGTGGTGTGTGCTAACCCCTTTGGCATTCTAGAATATCGTTTTTTTGCACTGCTTAGGTGTTTCTGCTAGCTGGAAGGAAACGAAAGAAGAGTAAAACCTCTAATTACCTCATCTCCATAGACCCAACTGACCTGTCTCGGGGTGGAGAGAGTTTTATTGGAAAACTGAGGTAAACACTGATACATCTAAGAATTTCTTTATCTAATATAAAGTTCATTTGAAATTAAGAAGCCTGTAAGCCACTATGACTTCTTAATTAGAGGCTTGACTACATCATGTGATAATGGTCTTAAAGTTCACCAGTATCCAAGGCATGTTTTCAAAATGTCTCAAGTACTTACAAGATCACATTTTATTAAAAGTCACCAGGATCGAAGCTCTTAAATGCTCAAAGGCCAGATTCTCAAGGGTGTACGAGCACAACTTATCTTAATGGGATTTTCAGAAGTACACAAGTAGATTGTGTCTAGCCCCTATTGATATAAATACCTTGGAATGGAAGTTCTGTCTGTTACACAATCTGAAAATCTCTTTGGTTTTGCCATTTCTTAAGATCCTAATTAGAGTTATTTACAACTAGTGGAATTCTTTCAGAACCACATATTTCTTTTCTTGTCTGTCACCCCATCATACATCAGTCTGCTGTTGATACCTACGTGGAGCATCTCAATGTATGTTTAGATCATCTCTCCCTGAGGAAAGGGACTGTGCTGCTAATTGCCATTTGCCTGTGTGGATCTTGGAACTTCATGTGCTATTTACTGCAGTGCAGACACAGAATGAGGATAATGTGGTTTTAGTATGTTCTAAGTTGTATTTTGCACTCCTTGGTGTAATTTCCATTTAAATAGGAAAGACTGATCTTATTTATAACTTTATGAAAAATCACTCTCTGTATTCTGATAGAGTTAGTAGTCAGGTAAGAAAGCAGATATTTTTGTAGACAGTAAGCATATTTTAAAACCCAAGCAAACAAACAAAGTAACCCCACCTGAGTATTTCCTTATTGCTTTCTTGAGTTTACTAGTTTGCAAGATGTCATGAAGCGTCTCCAGTGTAATGATAAGGAACCTTTAGTATACTCTGCTGTACTGTACCTTTACATTTTTGTGATGGCCTTTAATCAAGGTGTTGCCATTTAGTTGGGATTAGAATTAACAACTATTTGTGCTCAAGATTATCTGTCTTTCCTTTGGGGCTACAATGCAGTAAAGGATAGATGTCTTGAGCAGCATTACTGATAAATGGTGATTGGATTTTCCATTTTTTTTTGATAGATCAAATCTTATGGGAACTAAGTTTACAGTTTATGACAATGGAGTAAATCCAATGAAAACAACATCAAGCCTGGAGGCGAGTATCCTGCGTCAGGAGCTAGCTGCTATTTGTTATGTAAGTACCGCTCACAGGCAAAATACGCAAGAAATGGCAGTTCACTTTCTGAAATAGCACACTGAATTTCCTTCTCACTTATGATTATGTAAATCAGCATTCATGCTTTGATGTAATCAAACAGCTGATTTTCACTAGAGAAACCAGGAGATTCAGTGGAAAGTAGAGCTGAAAGACGTGCACAGAACCAGGTTGCCCAGTTCTCACTTTTGGTCAGAAGGTGTTGGAGCTTTTACATAACCCTCTGGAAGGGGTACAGTGCCTCACAGCCTGCAGGCACCATCCGAGGGAGCCTCCTGAACTGGAAAGAGTTGTGCACATGGAATTACTGCGCTAAAGTATGATCATTTGTAATGGCGTTTTGGAGGAGGCCTCTCTGATCCAGAACACAGGTAGCTGGACAGCTAGGTCTGCCGCAGTGGCTGAGAGACTGGGATAAAACTCTAATCCTCCTCTTTACCAGGGAAAAAACCCAAACAAACCCCAAACAAAATCCAAAACTCAATTGAATGAGAGAAACCAGCCTCTTATAGGACGGTAAATAGCATTTGTCAGGGGCAGTGCAGACAATCAAGACCTGAAACACAGTTGCTGTTGTTTCATGATTACTGGATGACTAACTGTTTTGGTGACAGTATCCTTTCTGTCCAGAAATCTCTGGGCCCAAGAAACTCTTCCAGTCAAAATTGATACACACACTGCTACAGAAAGTTTTCTGTCTTCACAAATCAACAAGTTCTGACACAACTACCCAAGAACAGCTACCCACTTTTCTGAAAAGTTCCTGCCCAGCTCTAATCAAGGATGCCTGGAAATCTGTGAGATCGAGGTCCAGCCAGCCCAGCATATACCCTGCGTACGCACAGAATGCATTCCTGGAAAAGCCAGCTTCAGGTTGGGGGGAGCGATGCTTCTGGAAGTCTTCTGCACATGAGAAGGAAAGCAGAGAGGCATCCTTTCTGTGCAAAGTGCTGAGAGCACTGAAGGGTGGCAGTATTAGCTGCTAACGTGTTCTTTTCCTACTGCTTAGGATGCAGTTTTTCTGTGAATGTAGTATAAATAGTGTGTTTGTTCACATGTGCTATTGTTCAGGCACATGGCCTCTGGTTGCAAACAGGCACACGCACACACATATCCCTCCATTCCTGTTGGATTTGAAAATCTTTGAGAATTTCAGAAAATCCAGCTAACAGGATTTAACAAGAGAGTCCAGGATTTGATGTCAGTTTAGAGTTTGACTGAAGTTTCAGTAGGAATCTAGGAGAACTTACATGTTTAATAAAGGTATTTTTACTGGTTTATGTAGGAGGGCATTCCCTGGAGCCAGGCAACTAATCTTCTGGTGCACACTGGAAATACAAGGAGAAAACAGACAGTTTAAAAAAAAAGTTACATATTGAAAATTTTAGGCATTGCTTGTTTCAGTCTACAGTAACGACATTTGAACCATTAACGTTACCGAATAAAAAACTGAGTTGCAGTCAGCAGAGGTAATTAGAAGTGTGAATGTTGGAAAGAACAGAACCATGGCCAGGGTTTGGAGGACGTGGCTAAGATAAGCTGCTTTTCTATGCCTATTTTGAGATCAGCAGTTTAAAACTTGTACATCTGTATAAGAAAATGACTCATTCCATTGATATTTTGATACTCACGGAGAAAGGCAGCAGGCTGGCAGGTGTGCTGTGGCCAGAGGACGAAAGGAAGTCAGAATGATATTTCATTACTAGCCAGGTTTGCTAAAGTGAGATTATTGTTTCTGGCTGCAGCAGAACCGCAGCAAAGAATGCCAGAAAGAGCACTCCTGAAAAACCCTTGTCCTAAGGTAACATTTTAATTCCTGCCTTGAGATTTTTCCTGCAGCAAAAGCTACAATAAACAATACTTTGAAAGCACCACTATGCCTCTTGCTGTCTCTCAGCTCATCTGATCAAGTACCCATCTGGAGAACAAGCTGTACCTGCTTCCACCAACGTACTGAACCTGACCTGCTGAATCATCTCAGCAGGTCTAGTTTATACAGGCAGAAGCTGGTCATGCTTCTGTTGTTAACTGTGGGATAAACGTGTTGAGAACTCTCATTGTGGAGGTCACCTTAGGGCATGTTTCAAGCAACAGGAATAAAGTTAGTGCAAGGACCGAGTTTTATCAGGTGCCGTTAACCACTTTTACTGTCCCTGCTGATGGCAGCCTAGCATATTAATAAAACTGCAGCAGCACCTAATGGCCGATTTCAGAATCGCTTGGCAAAATTTGTCAAGAAACAGTGAGGTGTAACTGTACTATTGGTACCAGGATTTTCTGTGCTGGATTCCTTTATATCCATAGTATCTCACAATTCAACTTGTGTCAGATGCCGAAGGCAGGGAGCTCAGCTGATATTCTGAGGTGTGACTCAGGTTTCAGGAAAGCAATAAAACTATGTTTTTCTACTCAGGCCTCAATCACTTGCATTGTGCTGCAATGTAGTGGGTTCTGTGCTTTGGGCTTTCTATGGAATGATAGTTTCTACAGAGTGTATTAAGGACAAGGCACAGCTGTGTGAATCAAGTCCAGAAAGGGAAGTGGCTGAAAGAAAATTGGGGTAATTAAATCGTGACTCTCCTGAGAGCTGCTGGGATATACACCTTGCCGCTTTTATCATGGCAGGTATTGCCACCATAGCAAAATGCTTACATAATTTTATTAAAGTGTGTAAGATTTTAAAAGCAACCTTGGGGAGAGGCTCTGTGTTTTTCCAGTCCAGTTTATTGTGATGCATGTTCACAGAACAGCTTATTGGCTGGGCTAAGGCAGAAAGTGCAGCTTCTAAGCAATACTAGGCCAAGTCCTTAGCTGATTTAAATCATTGACATGCTGGTTGAGTCAATAGGGCTCTGCAAGCTGACAACCCTTATTTTGAGTTCCTATGAAAACCAAGACTGTCAGTGGCATTAAAATGGTGTGAAATCAGAATTTGGCCTATGTACCCCTAATAATACCATCTGTAGTCTTGAATTTACACACACAAAATAGTGGAGGAGGGAAATAGAAGCAGGGAATGAGACAGGAGATAAGGGGAATTAATTTTGTTTGGATGCAGGTAGATTGGAAGAGTCTGTTTTTAATTAAAGATCCTTTTTTGTTCCTACTGTTTTCCTCGTGTATTCTGCATTTGTAGATTTTCAGTTCTGTACCTTGTTTTTAGCTGAAGGGTAGCATTTGCCAATAAAACGTTTGATATAATTGGTGATTGATGTAATGTGCAACTAGAAACCATTCCCTTATCATTTAGCAGAAGTACTGATTTTAGTGTTTCTGAGTAAATCCAAAGAATATAGTCCTGTTTTTCCAGAGTGATAATACTGCTTGCTGGGAGGGAAGTGATTCAGCGCTATTATTTAATTTTACCTTGAACAATGTCTTCAACCAGTCAGCATCTAAATTAATTATATATAGCATAACTGCAGCTTGATGAGAAGAAAAGCTTGTAAGGCGTTGCAGAGAAGACCAAAATTGTCAGTAGTTACTGGAAAATAAGCATAAGCATGAATCGTTTCTTAGAAATTGTCCTCTGCTGTGCTGAGTCTCTCCTGCTTATAAAATCTGCTGGCAGTCATTTTAGTTTGAGTCTTGCCATGATGCAGAACCATACGCTTCCAAGTGAACTGATAACACTGGTTTACTCGCCAAAGGCCATGACATAAATGATTCAGAAAAGAGGTAGAATCTTCCCATTAAAGTATGGAGTTATGAAGATATATGAATATACCTGCATTGCTTCCACAGTATTTGGCAAAATAACTCAGTGGAATTTTTCTTGCATCTTTAATGAGTTGTGTAAAATCTCCACACAGGTTGCTGAAGCAACCAAAGTTATTTCAAAAGTCTGATGGATGACAAAACTTCTGCACGAGTAAATTTTAGGCGGGTATTTTCAGATGTTTCTAGTGAGTTGAGATGCATGGATTTTTATGTGCAAAAGTAGAGATGGTTTAAAAAGTTCAGTGTTCCTTAAAATCAGGATGCTTTAATTAAATCTATAAAAGCAGAGACATCTGAGTACATCACTTCTAAATGTCCCAGTGGGGGTGTCCAGCTCTTGGCATCTTGTGGTATGTTGCTGGGAATAGCGCCAATGGGAATTTGCTTCATGAGATTCTTTAGTGTGTGTCCACAGCCCTTCACCTGGGAAGGGTAGAGGGGAAAAAATGCATGTGACTGGGGGGAAAAAAAAAAAAAGTAGCACAAAACACGAGGAGATGGACTTTCAGAGGTGTCACTGTTTCATTTACTGGAGTTAATGCTAAAATAGGCAATCAGGTTTTACTGAGTGGATTGCAAAATATCGTCCCCTACTTTTTAAAAAGTAGATGATGACTTACTGAAATACTTGGCCCTAGCTGCTTCTGTGGGGGGAAAAAAAAAAAAGAAAGCCTCAGATAAAAATAAGACTTTAGGCGTATTTAGATTTTAGTGATTGTGTTTTGAGAGGATAGTGCAATACTGGAGTGCTTTTGTGAAAAGCTGGTGGGAAAGGCATCAGAACATGTTTAATGGAAGCACCTGTATTGTCCATGGATTTATTTTTGCGGCCCATGTTATTTCTTTACTTTCCCTGCCTTCATAGCTCGAAAATTTGCATTCATGCTAATGTGTTTGTTTTTTACCACGCTCATCTCTAAGCATAACATTATCTGAAGACTTTGAAAACCACAGCACTGCTAACAGATGCTCTTACTGGCAGCTTCTTCTTGTTTGCTTTTGTGCTGGCTCTGGACTAAAAGGAGTTGGTCCCATATATTTAATTTTGTCTCTCATCAAAATGTGTGACTGCATTTTATGATTTTTAAATTACAACTACTTTATTTTGGGACCTAGCAGTAGCCAAGCAATCTGGTTAGTTCATATCCTTCTTTAACAAAGGGATTTTTTTTTTTTAATTGTATTAAGGTTGCTGGCAGCCAATGCTAGGAGTGTTTTTGGAAACCTCTCTATTTCAATTTTTCCTGTTGTCGGAGCTTCTAAGACAAAGCTAGAATGTTTGGCAGTGTCAGGGAAGGTAGGAGTTTCAAGACGTTTCTTCAGTTGACTAACAAATAAGTTCCCTGGGCTGCCACTGTGTATCTCTGTTGAAGAAATTAACTTTAAAAATACAGAACATGATAAACTCTTTTCTAAACATTTTTAGGAAACAAATGTCTTGGGGTTTAAAGGACCTCGTAAAATGAGTGTGATCATACCAGGAATGAATATGGACCACGAAAGAGTTTCCATCAGGCCACGAAATGTAAGTCATACTATCAGCCAACGATAAAAATTACTTGAATTCTTTTTCAGTTAGAGTTGTTTTTTTGCATTTCTGAAGGTTTAGAGGTTTAAAAAAAAATGGTATTTGAACAATTGCAGAACAATGGGATGTGTGACTAGTTCTGTGACTCACAAAAGCACTACAAATAATAATGTGTTTTGGTAACAAAAGATACAACTAACCTTTACCAAGCTGTAGAAGGGACTCAAACGCACATTCGCGTTAAGAAACTCAGAGTTCTCTGTTCCATTTGATGATGCTGTTTTGAGGGTGACAGTTTAGTCTTTGGACTAGGATTTATGAATGGTTTTTTGTGCGTGTGAATTTATTTTTTGTCTTGTGAGAGTGTTAAACTGAAGCGTGTATCTGTGGTGTGTGCAGGAACACGAGACACTTCTTGCAAGATGGCAGAACAAAAATACAGAGAGTGTCATTGAGCTGCATAACAAAACACCAGTCTGGAATGATGATACCCAGTCCTATGTTTTAAATTTCCATGGTCGAGTCACACAGGCCTCAGTGAAAAACTTCCAAATTATTCATGATAACGATCGTAAGTATAGCTTGCTGTCTGTAATGCGTAGAAGCAGTACTGCATACCCAGCCTGACAGTGATTCTGCCCTTACTGTTGTTACCTGAGCGAGTTTAATGTAGTTATGCGGATCCAACTTAATGCTGCTCTGCCTTGTGGCCATGACATTGATGCAAGCTGGGTGTTTAAATGCTCATGCTTGAGGCAAGTGATTCTGCTATGCGCTATCTAAGTTTTCTCCTTGGCTGCCCAGCCTGTGAACTGAGCAACAGTTTAGAGTCGTTTCTGCTCTTAGAGCTGTGGTGCTTCCAGTCAGCAGGACCGTGGGCCAGTATCGCTCTGCTGAAGCACTTGTATCACACAATTCTTCCTTGTTTTTTTTGTTCACTGTGGTCCCCATATGCTGCCCAGCTGGAGATAGTGGCAGTCAGATTGGTCCCACTGCACATCCACTTTGCCATTACTACTCTTTGTAGCATTAGCCCTACAGGACACCCTGAAAATGTCAGGGCTGCCTTTCACACCATCACTAGGACCTTACCGATGTGCTGCTTTCTGCCAGCAATGTACAGCCCCCTTTTTTCTCAAGCTTAGGTACAGTTGTTGGAGCAGTGATAAAGACAAGTGCTGGAGCGGAGTGATAGTGCCCCACTTTATGCTCACTTTAGGCAGGCATAGTCACTAGGTGCTGGAGCGCACTGCACTACACCAGTGCCATGCTTAGACTGCAGGAGAATATTGGAAACTGGTGAAAATGGCTGTGCCATTCTCCGAGAGAAACACTTGAATTTGAAACATTGGTGTATGCATTTGCTGCATTTTATAAGGTGAAACAATTATACCTGCTTCTGCAGTTAAACATTTCAAACTGTGAATGAGGCTGAGATTTCCTCTTGAGTAACAAGTCTTGCAATCCTTTATCACTCAACTGTTTCTCACTCAAGCTATGAGCACACCCACTTGCATGAATAAGTGTTGCGAAGTTTGATGAGTGAGCATGATTTGTTTGTATTTTGTTGAACTGGCCAGAAGATGATGTTGAATGCGTACTTACTTAGTAAGGGCTGCAAACAAAAATAATGCTTTGTCACCTTTTATGACCTTTTTTGCAGCTGACTATATAGTGATGCAGTTTGGCCGCGTGGCTGAGGATGTGTTCACCATGGACTACAACTACCCAATGTGCGCACTACAAGCCTTTGCTATTGCCCTTTCAAGTTTTGACAGCAAGCTGGCTTGTGAGTAAAGGGGCATGGGTGAGCATCCTCTCAAAGGAAGCGGTTTGCCATATGATTCCCAATTCCTGCCACTGTCACTTACAGTCCATACTATAAACAGGTCAGGGAAAATGCAGTTGTGGAGGACCACTCTATTGCGGAAGAGAACAGAAAAGGAATCTTCTAAAAATTCAGGACATTCAGGAAATAATATTTTCCTTTTTTTTCTGTCATATTTTTCTGGAAGTGGCATCAAGTTTGTGTAAATAGAAGTTCTATCTCATGTTCTTGATTATGTTATGGAGATGTGCCATGATGTACTGTACCATGGCTCTAGTAGCACCATTATAACGGTGTCTTTTTTTAAATCCAGAAAGGGCGTGCACACTCGAAAAATTTCTTTTTACATTTAAGAATTATTCTGAGGCTGCAATCATACCTCAAGGTTGCATTCCTACATCGACTAATCAGAGCTTCACATCATCCAGCGTAAAAGAAAGATCACAAAAAAGATGCACTTTTTTGAATGTGCAAGGATCTCGTGTAGTATAAAGCCGAGTCTGAAGGTTGAAAACCCATACTGGACTGAACTTGATGCATTGCTGTTGTATATGTAGTAGGGCATGATGAATTTTAATTGCAGTAGGAGGAAATGGAGAAGTAGAAAGCACAAAACAATGTTGCACAAGTCACTTGAATTCTAAGCTGTCATTATGTTTTAACATCTATGTGCTTTTTAATTTGTTTCAAATGAAAATGTATTTGGAATACAGAAAAGGAAAAGGAAAAGGTCTAGATGCCAAGAAAGCATAACTTAAGTTGAATTTGGCATGTCGCGTGTTGGGAATTTATATCCTTGTATTGCTGTGGTAATTCAAACACATATTTTGTATGAAGTGATATAAACAGTTGGATAAAGGCTCTCCACAGAGAATCTTATTATTTTGAACAGGCTGTGTAAAGCTGAGGAAGGTAAATGGAAATATTTTATTAAATTTGTCTGGCCTTTTGTGATTTTACAATTTGTTGATTGCATTTTTTGAACTTTAAGCAACAACCACTTTTCATATTTATTTCCCATTGTAAGAACGCTTGATATCGATTGAAACTCTGTATGTTGTTCTCTAATGTAAACGTGCCAGCTACTGAGCTAAATCCTTCTAGGCAAATCTAGTGTATACTGCATACAAATGAGACACTGGCAGGACACAGAATAGCTTAAAATAGTGTGGATTTTTGTTTTGTTTTTCCTGATATAGCTGGAATATATAAACAAATACCATTTCAAAACACAAGCAAAGAACAAGCCATTCTCTTCTCTTCTGAGCATCTCAAAAGCCAAGAGCTGCAACTGAAAGCACACTGTAAAACACCTTTAAAAATAATGAATCTTTCTGCCATTGTTCTGTACAATGTTATCCTAAACAGCACACAGAGTAGTAGAATTTGTATGTAGTTCACCAGAAGGGTATTGAAATGTGAGTGAAGAAGTAGTTGCGTTTTATACTGTGTGGATTCAGATCCTCCTTTTTACTCTTTATAGGCTCTTGCACTGCACAACCAAAGATTATGTAATGAGAAGTTGAGATCAGATCTGCCTGTCTCATAGCTGTCAGTCCATTTTTGACTATAGAGGACAGGCCATAAGGAGAGGTTGTGCCATTTGGACTGCATAATTTCAACTAATAAAAGAAAAATGCTCTCTTCTTCACATTTGCCTTCAGGTCTCCTCCCCATATACAGACAAGGAAATTTCAGATAACAGATGGAAATAAGTAATTGCCAGCATTTTTTCTAATCTTTTTTAAAATTTATGGAAAAAAGTCTGCTGGCTTTGAACAGTGTTTTGTTGATGGACTCAGCCTGTCAAATGTCATCTTTAGATAACAGGAGGGTCTGTCATTTTTGTCAAATCTTTTTACAAGAAGCCTTTCCACGTAGTGGTATAAAATGGAAAGACACCTTTTGTTTGAGAAAAATGAGCAGTCATTTCCCTCAATGAATGATCAAAATGATGAGTCGTGAGCCACAGTGTGATACTTAGGCTTTGCACGTGGATGCTTTGTTTTCCCCTGTAGTCGGTGCTTTCCCACCACTTCACATCCCCATCTGTGATCTCACTTTGGATTTTGACAGAGAAGGCCCTTAGGCCTTTGGTTGCCTCAGGTCAGTCTTTAAAAACTAGCTCCAATGATAACCAGAATTTTTTGTTTAGACTACTGCAGAAACAGACAGGAATTCCCACTGCTGGTATTTAGGTATGATGTGGATTTCCAGAACTCTGCAGCATGGGAATGGTTGACTCTGCATGGCTTTAATTCTGTGGCTTGCCAGTCATATGTTTTCTTTAAAGCCTGAGAAAATAGCACCTGACATAGTTCTTCTGCCTCTTTCTGTGCACAACACAACTCTGTCAAAGGAACTAAGTGTCTTATGGTGCAAATATACAATCTGTTGGCTTTAGTAGTGGAGTTGGTTTAGGAAGGGTTATTTTTAATGCGGATCATAACAATAGTCTGACTTGCATTGTGTCCCCACAGGGAATCGGCACGAAAGGGAAGCTGATGTGCAGTGAACTCCTGCACAAGGGTGAGAATGAGGGGCTGGGGAAAGGCAGAGAGTTCAGCTTCTTGGGACAGTTTTGCTGCCAGCACATTGTGTAACTTCACTCTCACTGCGTGTTCTTCCCAGCCAGGTATTTTTTTAACCTGTAAGCATGCCAGGAGGAAAGTGGTGACTCAAATTCCCATCATCTTAACAGAATCATACAGGGACATCAGCCAACAAGCTGCTGAACAAAAAAACCCCCACCATAAATTGAGGTCACTTAGAGGGAGATGTTAACCAGGGGGTAAGAGGAATGAGGAGCTCTCATTAAATCTGGTTCAGTTACAATAGGATTTGCACCTAGTGGCCTTTGCCAAAACCCTAATTCCTCACTGTTGTTGAGCAAGGTACTGGATTGTTTTGATTCACTTGACCATCGCCATCTGCTCCGGAAGCGGTTGCTTTTAATTTAGCATCTATATAATTTCTAATGGACATTTTCTGGTGAAGGTCACTACTGCATGTCAATGCAAGGCGATATCACAAGCTTTCCAGCTCATCTCCAAATTTGTTTTCCTAACTTGGTAAAGTCACAGCAGGTTCTGTCTTAATGTACAGTCATGCCTGAGATTACACCGTCCTCACAAGGTTAGATTTTCCTCCACACCAGCAATAAAATCTTGGCACCAGTATATATTTTCAGATATATATGAACACTAAAGTAACCCAGGAGTAGTTAGTGGCACACTCATATTCGTAGTAGCTTCTGCAGGGCCTGCATGTCAACGTGCCACAGGGCATAACCTTGTTTACTCAGTGTGACAAAGCATATAATGGCACCAAGCTGTGTACTTCCTTCACATAGCCCTAGTGAGTATTTGGATGCAGTAGTTTTAATATTATTCAAAATCCCAATATTGATGATTTTTTTGCATCTGCTGTTGATTTTGGCAGAGAGTTGTAAACAAAATTCCTTGCCTGAATTGCTTATAGGCAAATACTGCATGCTTTAATGAGAGTTCTTAATCTAACTTGTCACTCTGTTTACATCAAACAGTTTCTTCCTGGCCCTTTATCTAATTTTATTTATCTCTGATGTTCTGTTCCTTCTTATTCTTTTCACAATCCCTTTATCTTTTCTTCAAGGATGTGCAACTTGGAAGTGTTTATTTTGACATTACTACTCAGTGATCTCTCCACAGATGAATAATGCCTTTGGTGCACATCCAGTGATGCTCTTATAATAGAAGCCTTATCAGAGGGGTGAATTTGGCCCTTTGGCTTTTCAGTAGAGTAAATTAACACATTAAAAGGTAGCAGATAAAAAAGCTTGCCTAAAATATAATCAGAATTTTTCTCAGTAAACATTTGGTTACTAGAGTTTCCAAACCATTGGTTGCAAATCAATGAGCAGAACTGTCCACAAGCCTGGAGGGAGACTGTTAAACAGATTCCCTTTGTAGTCCTGCCTTATTTTTCCTTTTTCAAAAGGTTGAAAGTGATTTTGTGAGCTGAAGTGTGTTGATGCCCTAAAATAGAGTTTATTTTTTTAAAAGCTAGACATCACTCCTTTTGCAGGATAATACATGGCACATAAAATAGTAATGTTGTACGCCACCATTACAAATTCTGATGCCAAGAAGTCTGTGAGAATGGTTTTGTAATAATTACTAGGTAAATCTCTCACTATCCAAGTTGCCTTACAATAGTGCAGGAGTTCCCAGCTGGCTGTCCTCATGAGGTACTAGAACTGAAGGAGCTTTAGTGAAAAGGGCTCTGTAATAAAACCTGCTGGCTGCATGGTCAGGAAACATCATTGTGGAGTCAAATGACACCACTGAGTTTTATTGGTCGCGGTGAACCAATGCCATCAATTCGAACTTTCTGTTTTTTTGCTCCCTTTTGATGAACAAAAGGAGGGATTTTCAACAGAGACATCAGTGAGGTCTCTAGAAGTACTGAGCATTAGACGTACTTTTCTACGTACAAAAATCTTACCCTACCTGAGTGTTGCCCATTAAAAAAGAAGGAAATCAACCCAGACCTTAGTATAGAAAATCACTCCCGTTCTTGTATCTTAGCTTTTTACAAATTTTACTATTAATTTATTAGTGATTTCACATAAGTATACAACAAGGGTGGGATGTCACATGGCAAGCGTGTTCTTGCCCTGAAGAGACGATGACTCTAGACCAGCATCAGAATATTTTTTCTTTGGTTATTTTAGTAGGATAGGACAGGGGGTTGCCTGGTGTTTTGGGCACAAAGAGTTTCTCCTGGTGTGTGGCAGGTGTCAGAGGGAAGATTTTGGGTTTGATCCTGTGACATTCTAACTAGTTCCCCAGTACTATCCCATTGCTTTCCTACAACATTTGCAAGATTTTTCATGGTTTTAGAGCAGTGTGTGTTCACCAATAAAATATCTTTGCTTGGCAAATAAGGACAGCAGGTGTGATAAAGCAGCGGTCACCTTTATTAGAATTATGGGCTGATGACTCGGATTTCTCAAAAGGCCTCATTTTGATTACTAGAAGAAAGTAGTTTTATACATATAAATCTTGCACTAGAATTAATCTAACTGTAGCTGTAGGCTTCTCTTGTATGTGCTACTTAATGAAAACGGGTTTCTGTTGTTCTTCATGTATGAAATGTACCTTCCAGGGTTCTGCTCTGTAAGTGTTTGAAATTAATTGTGTAGATATTTTTCAGTTCTTTCTGTGGCTCGTGAAGGAATTAAGAAAAGGATTTGCACAACTATCTCGATGTTTTGGTATTTTGCTATGAACTATAGCTCAGTAGCTGATACTCACAAATGCCTGTATATTGGATGAAAATGCATTAAAACTTATTTTATATGTTGTATTTTATTTAACTGTCTGGAAATTTTGGATTCCTCTTTTTCAGTAAGGGTATGTTTATCCATACCTTCACTGAGAAGACTTGAATTAACTGGCTCTCTTAAAACTGTTTAATGGAACCAGTACACTGGTTTGCTAAATTGCTTTAGGAGGAGGACAGAGTTCAGAAAGCTTACACTTACGTTTTTGAGAAAAAAACCCTTCCTATTCCTTTTATAATTGGATTATGCAATAACACTGAAAGCTTATCATGGTTTTATTTAAGTCTACAATGGCAGTTTGAAAATTACTCTGACAAAAGCTTGCTAGCACATGAACTCGAATGAAGTCCTACTTGAGAGTCAGAACCCAGCAAGTACCAGTGAGTACTCCTGCATCTATTCTGTGCTTAGGTACTGCCTGCATGCAAAAAAAGTCCTGAAGAGTCACAAACCTGTGTTAAAATCAGCCTAGTCTTTTAGGCAGTCCAGCAGCTGTTAGAACACAGGCCTGGGGATCAGGTCACCTGGGTTTTAATCCCAGCTGACTGTGTGACTTTGTGCAAATCTTGTAACCTCTTTGTGCCTCAGTTCCAACGAGTTGAATGGAAATAATAGTTTTCGGACCTGCCTGTG